CCGGTGTCGTTGCCGCTCGAGTTGCCTCTCCCTCTCCCTCTCCCTCTCCCTCTCCCTCTCCCTCTCCCTCTCCCTCTCCCTCTCCCTCTCCCTCTCCCTCTCCCTCTCCCTGTCGCGGGAACTACCCCTGCGAGGCCGGTCCCTCTCTGTTTCACGTTCCCGTTCCCGCTCCCGCTCCCGCTCCCGTTCACGCTGCTCGCGAGCTCGACTGTCCCGATCACCGGACCGGTCATCCCTGGCTCTGCCATCTCGGTCTTGGTTGTCCCGCTCAGAACGGCGTCGACCCTTTTCGCGGTGGGAGCGGTCCGTGTAATAGCCGGGAGAGATGTCCCTCGGTCCATCGTTGAACCGGACGTGGTTCTGTTTCAAGATCGGCTTCGGCTCAACAGTGGCCGAGGGTGAGACCCTACTGCCTTCGCCGTAGCCGCTATCAGGAGGCGAGATAATGATGGGGTGGGCTCTTGCACCCTTGTCGTCGGGGCGGTATTTATCGGGGGTGTAGCCTCTGGGTATGTATTTGGTGCGTGCCGCCTCCTGGCGGTAGTCACGTTGATCGTCGGAGGAATCGCCATCATCCCAGTGTGCCGGTTGGGGTGGGTTGTTGTTGCTCCGAATTCTTGCACCTCCGCCTCCACGCATCCTTCGTCCCTCGGGGTATCCTCGAGGGCGTGCTCGGTTGGGGGGTTCATAGATCTCGCTTGGAGCATTGGATGGGCCTCTTGCGTTTCGGACTTCGGCAGTCTGTCTGGCATACTCGGCGATTTGCTCGGGGGACAGCTTGCCAAGGACTGCAACAAAGGTCGGTCTGGCCTCGTAACGCACACCAGCTCTCTCGAGAACGACAGGCGATACAAGGCTGCGCTTGATTCTGGTCCAGGTCGCGTCCAGTGGGATCTGTTTGCCTCGACCATCGGGGGCTAGGTTACTGTGCTGCCGAGCTTGTTGCTGCTGATGTTGGTGATAAGAAAGATCATTCCCGGCATGAGGGGCCGAGAGCGACACTTGGCTGGTGTAGGGAGGCGGTGGCGTCACGGTCGATGAACTTGGGGACAAGGTTCTGGTGTAAGGGGGCGGGAACTGAGAGGATGGCGAAGCGTATCGAGAAGGCCTCGAGTACTGGCCATCGTAAGAGATGGCATCTGCTCCAGGGATCTGCAGCGGCTGAACCCCAGGAGGCAAATACCGATTTCCTGGCGATGTTCCAGGAGACAGGTTGTAGTTGGGTGGTGGGCCGCGTGAGCCCAGGCGTCCAGGCATCTTGTTAGCTTCGTACAAGTCAAGGGTGAGAATATCTCGCGTTGATATCAAGGCTGTTTGAGAAACAGGGCTGGACTCGGAGTCGGAGGATTCAGATGATGTGCAGTAGTCATAGCTGAGATGTGATGAATGGTTAGAGATGGCAGGAGGTTGTAAATGTCGATGAACTTGAAGGGGTTTCTCTGTGTCGGAGGTCGGGATCCGTCGTCGTCCCTCGTTACTAATGGGGGCATCACCATGATTGGGTCTTGGGTCCGGGTTGGGCACTGGGTAGGATGAGGAAGCACCCTGCTCTCCCATTGGCGGTTGGGTGCCCCATTCGAGCAGTCCGCGAACAGAAGGGGGTGTTCCGTCCTGAGGGGCTTTGTGTGATTCGAGCTCGCGTATGTATGCCCGAAGGACTTCCTGTTGACTGTGTGAGTCCAGGCTTCAAAAACTTGGGTTATGACTTGACGTGCAAGCCCAAACATACCTTGTTGTTGCGGAGGACGTCTGACGAGAACCCCTCGTTTTCGAGCTCGGTCTTGAACTCTTGCCACAGCTCTTCTTGGTGCTCTCCCACTGGTGAACCTCGTCTTTTTTGAAACAAGCGGTTGGCAACGATATCCACCTTGTTCTTGATGTCTTCCATCTGCGAGTTGTTGTCTAATTTCAGCAGCGAATGATGCACCTTTGATGGGTTGTGTAGCTGCACCATGTCCAGAAAGTTGACAAGTTTGGCCTTTTGGGAGACCACGCGCTCCCTGACCAGGTCAATCTTGAGTGCCTTTTCGGTTGGGTCTTCATCAGGGGTCCTGGAGGAATCCCGGCTCTCGGCTCCCATGCCATTCGAGACAGCGCTGGCACCACCATATTTTTCGATAATCGTGTTCACCTGCTTGATGGTGTAGTCGCTCTCCTGGACGAGCCTGGTCAGCTCCTCATGATAGACGCCATTTGGACTGTCATGATTGGCCGATCCCGGTTGGTTGAGAAGGGAGTCGGCGTCCTGGACCTCGTCGCGTAGGTGCTTGAGGACCCTTTGGAGACTGCCAACAGCCTTGCTCAGTTTGCTGAAATCCGGGCCAGCAGTCCGAGAGCGGCGATACAACTGTTGTGCAAGGGCATCGACCGACTCGACGCGCAACACGCGGTCGTTCGCAACCGTCATCGAGGTAGGGTCGGGTTGGGAAGCCCAAAAAAAGAAATGCCAGCTTGGGGTCTACTGTTCTTGACAAGATCAACACCCCTCTGGAAGGGGGTCGTGGAGGCTTTTTGGTCCAGAAAAGACAGGTCTTTGTTTTTGGTCTCGGGGAATCTCGAAAAGCTTGGTGATGTGTCTTGAGTACGGATGGGAGGCGGGAATGGTGGGAGCTGGGGAGCTGGAGAGCTTTTAGGCACTCGATGTGTTTGACAGCAAGATGCTCAGGCTGGAATGGTGGAAGCAAGCACAGTCGAGATGATTGGGCTGCTGCAAGTGGAAGAGATGAGTAAAGAGAGACTGATCTGAGGAACCAATGGAGCGGGCTGTGTAACGGATAAGGAGATGGCCCGGAGGTGCTAAGCAGAGGCCATCATGACCTGGGGCGTCTGTTCCTTCGCTGGGTGCCCCACCCCGTTGTTTGCTGACGAATGAGGCGCGAGTGATCATCCAACGAGCATGTGGGAGGGGTGCTTTCTGGAACCAGATACATATATGTCATCGAATCGCGGCACTAGCGGCGGTACGCAGCAGAGAAATCAACACTACTGCTGCCCAAACGTTCTAATGTTAGCATGCCCGAGGGTGACCAAGCAATTCGGTTCTCGTTGAGGCTACCATCCTAACACGTAGGTCGGTATCAGAACGCGGCGCGGAGTATAGCATCACGAGCATATGGTTGCAAGTCGCATCTTTCGCCCGGGGCGATATCAAGCAGCAACTAGCCGTCTGCAAATACATGTTGTCCACCCAGTGAACACAGTCGGCCAAGGCTGGGTGCGTCAGAATCTTGTCACATCACCAGTAGGCGAGTGTAACTTTGTGGTGGTCTCGTTGAAAACACAGGTGTCAGAGCATGGCTTGCAGTTTTCAGTTTCCAGTTTCCAGCTTGGAAGGCTTGGAAGTTCCAGACGGCCTTGCGAATCTGCCGGCGAGATCAGAGGTGGTGTGGTGGGTGGGAGAGACACGAGACACGAGCTTTAAGGTGACGTCTCTTGACTGATAGGACAGGGCTGGCCAATAACGAGAGCTGGAAAGGGATAAAAGAGAAACTCGGCGATGACGTCCAACCGCTTTAGTGGGGTTGCAGGCTGCGCCACTGTGGCCAATATTCCATGTGGGAGCTGCCGAGCATGGGTGACCAGGGCCGCAAACATGCGACCGAGATGCAAGACATTGCAAACCTACCAAAAGTCAAGCTTTTAGCATGCCGTTTTTGAAACAAAGATCATCAAGATATTTACATCTCTATACATGCTGGGGGGTCCTGTTTGCTGTCTGCTTTTGCGTGGTGAAAAGCTGTCAAAGTCCCGTTGTCAAGATATCCGCCAAGGTACCTATGACACCCAAATGAAGACCGAGACACTGCCTGTTCTGGAAACGCCGAACCGTTGGAGCTTGGGCTGTGCTGGGGAATTGTAGAGGCAGGTCCAGTCACGATGGACAAGGACAGCAGGCCTAAAACCGAGATGACGCCGACTCCTCCCCGCATTCTACTGATCTCTCAGGAACGAACTAGAACCAAGACCAAGGCGGCTCTTTTGACTCTTTTTCCTCTGAAGCCAAGATTGACGCTCCTGGGCGAGCTGGTGGAACCACGTTAACGAACAACTCAAGCCTCGAGGCAAATCGGTCCCTCTCACCACCGGAGGACAGTTGCAGCAGAAAGGCAAGAGATACGTGGCATGCGGTGCTGTTTGAGCTGGGTGTTTTCGCATCTTCGGGGCAACATTTCTCTCTAGTCTCACACTGGCAGATGAGGTCCCCGATCGTACATCGTACCATGAGGCTAAGATCCCTCCCTCGGTGACGTTCTTGTATGTACCGCTTCGGTGTCAGTAGAGAGACCGGGCGAGGTCATCAGTTGTCACGCACCATGTACCGTAGAGATGCAAGGAAGAAAGGCCGTGTCGAGCTTGACTTGTTACACAACCATTAACATTTGGGTATCTGAACTTGTAGGACACAAGGTCCAAGACATTCTCACTTCTAATTACTTGGCTTCCTGCACAACGGTTTCGCGTGATCCCCTCACGCCCAACAACAGTTCCTCCGGTATCCGCTGCACCGAGTAAACGGCCCTCCTCCGGCTGATGGCCTGACCAATATCTCGGCTGCTGCGCTGGACAATTTCTCCGCCCGACCTGATCCTTTCCGTAGATATCCTGGCATCTGTCTTGAGCCCTACCGGCAGCTGCTCTGTGAACTGCACCGTTGTGGGCATTCCCTTGCCGGCGTCCAAAAGCGCCCGACGGGCCCTCTTTGCGTACCTGGTGGCCTCGGCCAGCATGCTCTGCAGATAGATAGCGTCGTGAATGCCTTGCAAGGCGGAGTCGATTTCGTGATTGAACCGCCCAAAGTAGTCAGCCGCATCTTCGTGGCTGGCCGAGTTGGCGAGCACACCGTCAAACGCCATCCAACCGCCCAGGCCGACCGCGTCTATGCATCTGGTCATAAGATCCGCGATGAGCTGCAGGCTTCCGTCTGGGGGCGCCTCGATCTCCTCCCGATAATCCGACGTCCAGCCATCTTTGATGAGTTCGGCCCGCAACACATTAAGTAGCCCGATGATCTGCTCGGGCTTGAACAGACGCCGAAGGCTCTGGACAGTGCTCACTGCTGGGCAAGCAGCCAACTTGCTAAATGCCACACCGAGTCCTCGGAAACGGTGCCCACTCAGATGCACCTCGGTGATCTGGAGTTCCTCTTCAGCCTTGTCGAGTTCCATCTTGATGGCGTCATTATCCTCATCAGCACTCTTTTCGGCGACGCCCTTCAGACGTTTCTGTTCCGGACTGGACGGGGTTTCATCCACGTCCAGGCTGTGGAGAAGCAACTTGACAGCGGAAACAAGCTCTGTGGGGCCAAGCTGAGTTCCTGACAAGTACTCAAGGAGTAACGCCATCGTGGGGTCGACTTGAGCAAGAAGGGGGGGCAGCTCCGCTCCAATAATATCGTCGACATTGTCCAACTCGCACGTCTCATCCTTGAAGGCTGATTTGACATTGGAGGTGGACAAGTGGCCAGCATCTACCAGATAGTTAAGAACACTGCTCGCCGCAAGTGGGCAAGACAACCTAGGTTCCTCCGAGTCGGCAGCCGGCTGATTCCACGCAAACACTTTGCTGATGGCGTAAAATATCCAGCGCCTGTCGACATGCGCATATTCGGCTCTGGAAGAGGGCCAGATCCATTCTGGTAGATGAGGACTGGCGACGATGCCATTTGTAGCAGCAGAGCCAGCTTCCTGAGCTTCGATCGGCTTGGTTTGAACTTTGAAAATACTGGCGAGGAACTCTTCCCAGGCACGCAAATCTTCGGCGGCAAGAAGCTCCTCCGCGTTGGCCACGCCATTTCTCCATTCAGCAGACATGGTTTCAGATAGCACGCCGGGCAGGGCTTGTTCGAGAACTGCTGAAGAATGGTGCTCCGCACGAGCTCGTTTTGTATCGGATTGTTCACGAGGTAATCCGCGGCGAATCGCATCCGTCAATAGCCCCTCTGCACGACGCTTCGTGTTGCGGTTCTTGGGCGCCTCAACCTGTACGGCAATGAGGCTTGATCCGTGCAAGCCAACCGCAATTTCCCGGGCGCCAAAGTAGGAAATGAGTTGACAATCACCTTCGGAGTTGGCAGGGGTGGCAGCTTGGAGAGAGCGAAAGATGGGGTTGTAGATGGAAAAGGACTCGGGCGTAGCGGCGAGGACAGACGTCTTGGAGATTCGAAGAAACGAGCTCATGCCGGGGATCTGTAGCTTAGTCTCAAGGTGCGGACTGCCGGAGCTGAAGGTGTAACTGGAGAGTAGCCCGTTGGCCAAGGTCTGCAGTGTGCCGGATCTCGCATCGAGCTGATATTCGGTCGAAGCCGGGAAACTTGGGAGCCGAGTGACAAAGATCGACTGCGCCTGTCTCCCCGACGGAAGAGCAAGAACGTGCAGATTTTGCTGGGCGACGTTCTCGGGCGTTTTGGACGACGTGATGATGAGGAGGATATCCGGATTGAACCCATCGCGGCTCACATTTTCCTTGAAAACGCCAAACAGCTCGTTCTTACCACCAAACAGGCCATCGACAACATCAGCCGCGGTGGTGGCCTGGACAAAGTCAACCTGAAGATGCGATCCCGAACCAGAAGCAAGCCCTTGAACAAGCACGGTAGGCGCAGTTGACCACTTCTCGTCAAGCGTTTCCCCATCAAGGCCAATGATGGTGCCGTCGGAAGCCACGGCAATTATTTCGTGGTTTGGGAGCTCATCGCCCGGTACCGAGTGTGGAGAAGTATGAGCTGCGCCGGCGCAAAGATGGACGATGGGTGTCTTGGTTCGAGGCGTATGCGACAAGCTTGACACTGCTGTGGCCTGGGACGTAGAAATTTCCTCCTTGAACAGTGTGATCTGCTTCTCCTTGGACGTGGTAGCTGAAACATATGTGTATCGAGAAGCGCTCTTCCCGGAAGACGGTCTCCATCTGAGCGAGTAGGGGGGGCATGTGAAGACTGATTCTGTCGAGACATCGTGAGATATGACCTGCTGGGAGGAGAGAACCTGGACTTGAAGTCAGCATACATGTAGTCTAGAGGTGTTGGCAAAGGTGTCTGACATCGTAGATAGTGACAGCGACGCCGTCAATGGCCACGGCAAGCTCTGACCGTTTCTTGCGCTTCAGTCCTTGCTTCTGTCCAAAAACCTCGCCTGCAACATGGCGACCGGTGCCCTGGGAGTCGGCGAAGGGGGCGGCAAGGGTGGTCAACACATAGGGAGTGTGTATCTGTAGTTTGGACACCATTCTGGAGAGAGGGGTTGGCTGCGTCGCCTCGAGTTGGTCGCAGAGAGTCGCTTAATTCGAAGCCATCACCAGTCAAATGCGAAGCTCTGCCAAACAGAAAAAAAGGCAATGCTCCACTGTGAAAGAAAGGTGGGTCCAGAAACTTTTTTAGCGGGGCTCCCGAATTCCCGGTAAATACTTGATCCAGCTCCGGACTGGATTCCTGTCCCGCCCAGCAAAAACAGACCCACTTATGATGTAAGTGGACCCTTCAGCTCTGGCCTAGCCAGGCCCGTGCTAGCGCCAAACGCGCTGGAGAGAGACGCCAGAACGCGTTCTCCAGGCACTGGTTATAGTGGAAGTTGAGTTGGACGCGACTTCGGGTCTCAACTCTCAAGCAGGATCTCGTCTTGGTAACTTTCTCCCAGCATCAATTTTACTGCTTTTACCTATCGCCGATTCCACCTCGACTTCCTGCTCTCTCCCGTCCCGTCTTGGTTGAAAATCATCAATTACTTACCTCTCGAAGAGTATTCACATGCATCATTTTCTTGTCTTCACAGCATGATACCCCCAGACGACTCTTCTCTGCTGTCTCTCTTCCCTTTGCTCTGAGCGACGACGCTGTGGTATTTTGCCCTCCCGTTCGAAGCTTGAAAATTGCCTATGGGCCTTGACTGACCGTGAAAAATTCAAGGGTTCATACCATGGCCGAGACTGCATCTCCAGTAGTCATGGTTGCAACTCCGGCTCACCGACCCCTACACCCTTTCTTCACACCAAACCGAATGACCCCGCATGCCCTTGAAAGTGAGGCTGCCGAATCCTCCCCTATATCGACTCCGATCACCGCGAAGGACAGCAGTAAAACAGAAGATGATACGGCGGTGAATCAAGCCCTCGAAAGTGGCGGCAAAAAGAGACGCAATGTGAACAGCAGTGACGCACTGGAAGCCGAGGAGCCGCAAAAACAAAAGGCAAACAAACGGGCGAGGGTCTCTGGGGCTAGTATCATTGCCAGTCTCTTCACCAAAGTCAAGCAAAGCGAACCATGTCCAACAGATACGCCAGAGCTTGTGGGTGAGCATGAGGGTTCGTCTGCAACGCAACCAAGCAGTAACGACACCTCCAGCACTGCCGCTTCAACGGAACCCTCAGCGCCAGGACCAACTGCACCGAAGCCCAAAAAACTCTTGCTTTTTGATCCCAAGACTGGAACAATCGGCCCTCCCCCAGTACCCAAGGCGACACCAACTGTGCAGGGAACTGTTGCGGCGGGTGAAAAACAGGCCCCCAAGAAACGTGGCAGGAAGCCAAAGGCAATGGTAGTGTGCATCAAATATGGAACAGACATGGAAACTCGGACTCGAATCGGCACGTGCATCAATTCTATACTGTCAGCCACACCTGCACAGCCGGCAGTTGAATCTGAACCCCCGCAGGCATCTGGCACGGAGAAGACATACCCCACGGCTCCAAAGACAGCAGCTCCAACATCATCCAAATCGACACATCCATTCTTTTTCGGCAAGGCCAAAAAGCAGGAGGCGGTACCCGAAGATGTCAAGCCCAGTGAACCGACCTCGCCCCGGCCTACCAAGACCAAGTCAAAAATATTCGGCTCAACGCCTTTCTCCCCTAAGAAGCCACGGACCGCGCAGGTGCACAAAGCCCCTCTACCTCAGTTCGGCGTCAAGAACCTGGGCCTCAAATTCCCGGGGGCCAAGCAGCCAGCATGGCCGTGGCAGGGAATGGTGCATATTCGAGGCGACGAGGACGAGCCAGAGGCGATCGGAAGACCAGAGACCCAGGTGGCAGAGGACAATTTGTGTTTATTGGCAGCTCGGAAGTCAAAGGGCCTTTCTGTCAAGGTGCCCCTTGCTGAGTCAGTGTTGGCCCTCACAGCCATGACCTTGAACATAGAATCCCTTGTCAAAGACATTCGCAATATCAATACGGATGTAGTCGTCCCTCCTCCTCCGGAGCTGCGGCTTCCTCAGAAACATTTTGAGAGTGGAAGGAAGCTTCAGGCACGTATCCTTCCGGAGCTCAAAACTTTCCAGACATCTGCACCAAGCAAGAAGGGGACTCAGCGTACACTCTTTACTGAAGACACGGGCGGAAAAGCTCAGCCACCAGCTCAGCTCTCCCTTCTTTTTGCGTCAATCTCTTCCTCTCTTTCTGCATTCGACCAGTCCCAGTGTGAGACGGCCAATTGGGTCCAAAAGTACGCCCCCACATGCGCTGCCGAGGTTCTCCAGCCTGGCCAAGAGGCTTTTCTCCTGAAGGAATGGCTGCAAGCACTGGTGGTTCAGTCGGTTGACACAGGGTCAAAAGATGACAAAGTCAGTCCACGGTCCAAGGCGAAGCATGGGAAGAAGAAGCGACGCAGAAGGCTCGACGGGTTCATCGTCTCTAGTGACAACGAGGACTATGGGCTGGATGACTTCTCTGGCGACGAAGCAGACTGGACCGCCAGTGGCGCCAGGGGCATCTTGAGAAAGACGGTCATCCGGTCTCTGAGTTTGGGCAAGGGCGAAAAGATGGCCAATACACTTATCATCAGCGGTCCCCCGGGCTGTGGCAAAACAACCATGGTTCATGCAGTTGCAAATGAGCTGAACTTTGAAATCTTTGAGATCAATTCCAGCACGAGACGAGCTGGAAAGGACGTGCTCGCCAAGATTGGTGACATGACCAGAAATCATCATGTCCGGCAGCATGAGTCGAGTACCCCGGGAGACAACAATGACGCCAAGGGTGAGGACGAAACTGCAGCCGATATAAAGTCGGGCAAGCAGTCTACCATGGCTTCATTCTTCAAACCAAATCCGGTGGTGGCTGCAAAACCAAAATCATCGACAGTCGCGTCAGGCGAGACAGCAGCACCAACAGATGTCAAGAAGGGTTCTTCTAGAAGCCAAAGGCAGTCCTTGATTCTGCTGGAGGAGGTTGATGTTCTTTATGATGAGGACAAGCAGTTTTGGTCAACAGTGGTTGATCTTATCACACAATCCCGACGCCCCTTCATCATTACGTGCAATGATGAGACTCTGGTTCCTTTACACACCTTGAGGATGCATGGCATCTTCCGGCTCAGCCCACCCCCAAGAGATCTTGCCATTGACCGTCTCATTCTTATTGCAGCAAATGAGGGTCATGCGCTTGCCCGCCAGGCTGTCGAGACACTCTACGACTCACGAGATTGCGACATCCGTGCGGCCACAATGGACCTCCAATACTGGTGTCAGATGGGAGTTGGTGACCGCAGAGGAGGGTTTGACTGGTTTTATCCTCGCTGGCCAAAAGGGGTGGACCTTGACGAGAACCAGGAGGTAGTTCGGGTCGTCAGTGAGGGCACCTACCAGCCAGGCATGAACCTGTTGGCGAGGGACAACATTGTCAGTGACAAGACAACACCCCTGCAGGCAGAGGAGGAACTTGTTGAGCAAGCTTGGGAGAGCTGGGGCGTTGATCTCGGGAACTGGGAGGACACGCTTCGTCTTGGTACCTGGGCGGAAAAGATCAATCCCGTCAGCGCAACCCCCGCTGGGCGGCTTGGTGCTCTTGAGGCCTTTGGTGAGATGACAGAGGCCTTGAGCGTGGCTGACATCTGCTCACTGGGGTCATTCGCCACGCACAAAGAGGTAAGCGGCACCAATTATTGCAGTCTTCCCTTTTTGGCTAACCGCTTGTACAGGAGACAATGGATGCCACACTGCCCGGGCTCTCCGAAAAGGCCCAGGGCGACTTTGTCCAGGGGCTTTCTCATCTTGATTCGCCCTGTACCACTCACTATGACTCCCTCGTAACTTCCTTGCCATTGACGATCAAGTCTCTTGGCAAGGCCTCTCTCAAAAAAAGGATAGAGGCGCTACAGGATCAGTCGGCCGACGAGTTTTGCCCTCTAACCGAATCACAAGCGGTTCAGTGTCTTCAAACGAGCTTCACGTCTCCCACACCAGGATCGATGGCTATCACGCGCATGGACTTTGCGTTTGCCTTTGACAATATCGCAACCCCAGAGTCGTCCTCCGCCATCCCGGCATCCTATCTCGACCCATCTGTGTTTGACAGAACGCTGAAACTCATCGTCCTCGACGTGGCCCCATATGTCCGTGGCATTGTGGCCTATGAGCAATCCCTCCAGAAGCAGAGACTGAAGATGAGCAGTCTTCTTAGCGAAGGCGGGAAAGGAACTCAAGGCACGAAGCGGATGCGGACGACAAGAGCTGCTTTGTCTGCAATGGAGGGTGGATCGAGGAGCAACAAACGGGGTGAGAGGTGGTTTAAAGCCGAGTTGAACCCTTATTTGGTAGCCAGGACAGGCGGGAAGGGGTGGAACCCCGGGCTGGATCTTGACGAGCTTCCAATTCCGCCAAGTCCGCTGAAGAGGAGTCCGATGAAGAGCTCTGCCGGGGAAGGGACGTCTCCCGAAGCATCTCCAGTCAAGCCGAAGAAGGCCGTGGGGAAACGGGGTAGAAAGCCCAAAGTCCAGAAAATTGTTGTAGATGAGGAGGACACGGCAGGTGAAGTATGAGCAGCTCCAAGAGTGTTCTAGAACATGCTCATGCAGTTCTCAGCAACACGTTACATTATTTTTGAAACACGGATTTAAGGGGATTAGGTATATGCGGACGCTTCTGATTGTAGCCGACATGGATGGGACACATCTAGGTAGCAAGCATTCGCATCTTATATGGCACAGACAAACATCATATCGCAAAAGGATCAACAGAGGAGGGGGGGGCATAAGCAAGTAGATGGCGTAAAATGGACACGAAAGGCAAATGATCAATGACTACCCGGTTAGCTAGATATTAGACTATTGAGACGTGAGAAGCAGGCAGCAATCAGAAACATCACCGATAATCCCAGTCAAATGCCCTGTTCCTCCCAGCCCCCAGGTCAACAGACGCCCTTCTGCTTCTTGCTGATGGCGCATCCCGGTACACATACACAACCTCTTCTCTCGGAGCCCTCGGGGCTACAACCTTTTCATCATAGTATGGCCTCCTCTGCAACTCCCTACCCCTCATGCTTTCTGGCCTGGCAAGCAAGGGCGGTCCAGCTCGGGGCTCTTCAATCAGGTATCTCGGTCTGCTCAACTCCCTCCCAGAAACATAACTTCGCGGAGGTGGCGGGGGGTAGTGACTATCTCTATTCCGGCTGGCCGCTGGACCGATGGCCGGTGTCATGTAATATTCTTCGTTCGCAACAGAGGAGGAGCGACGGGGAGGAAGGGATCGGTCCCGAGAGGGCGCAACGTCAGAGTAGAATTGGTCTCTCCCGCTTTGGCTCTTACTCCGCAGGACCGAGGAAGCGACGGCGTATTCGGAGAGACCTCTGGTATACTCTCTGTCGTCGTCGTTGTAGTAACCCCTCGGATCGATTCTTCCCCAGGGGGCGGCACCTTTCAGGCTTCCTCTTCTACTTCCGGGGTTGCTGTACACCTCCCCCTCCTCCTGTTCTTCATACACTTCCCTCCTGTGGGATACCGGAGGTGGCCCTTTATAGGCATACCCACCCCTTCTCGCCTCCCTGCCGTCGTGCGCCGATGGTGGGGGACTGTAATTCTTAACTTCCCTCTCGTTTACCTTGCCCCTCTTGGCGGCCTTTGCGACCTGCAATTTCTCCCTGGCCCTTCTCTCGTATTTGGACAGCTCCCAGTCTTCCTTGTCGCCGTAGACGTAACCTTTAGGCCAGTATTTGTGTGCGAGGAAGGAGGCGGCGGCTATGGAGCCTAGGAAGACGTAGGGGATCTTGTGGCCTCCTTCTTCGTGGTTGTCGGAGGAGTGGCTGTGTTTGGACTTGGAAGAAGAAGAGGAGGAGAGTGAGGATTTGGTTGACTTGGAACGGGAGCGCGAGGAGTGTGAGGAAGGGTAGGGTGGGTAGGAATCTGGGTCCGGGAGGGCTAGGGGCGGTGATGGCGGAGGTGATGGAGAAGGGATGGCAGGTGGGGGTGTCGGGGGAGGTGTGTAATAGACTGGCATCGTTGACCTTGCGAGTTATCAAGAGGCGAGACTCGGGGAGTCGTCGGAGGGCGTGTCGGAGGGTGTGTCGGCGTGGTGATTGATGTCGGTAAAGAACCGATGCACATAGCCAAAGAGAAGACAAAGACGAGAAAGAACAAAATCTAAAAGACGAAAAGAAAAAAAGAGAAAACAGCAGGAGCAGAGGTTTAGGTTTGTCTGTCTGCACCCTTCCAACCAAGGCCGCCCGGTTTGGCGGGCGAGCAGAGCAGGTCAAACCAGGCTGCGGTGAATGAGGCTTGAGTGTTGCTGAGAGCTGAGGTGTAGCAGGGTGAGAGGTGTTGGATGGCCCTCCGCGCCGCTCGCCTTCTACACCGACATGAAACTCAGTGCTGGAAGATGGTCGGACAAATGGGCAACTGCTCCAAATAGAACCGGCCAGGCTGCCCAACGAAGAATTTTGTGGCGATATTCTATCGTTTCTCGGGAGTGGGCTTGAGCGAACACTTATACGACACTGTTTTGAGGCTCCCGTCACACAACGGATGGACGGATGAGACCTCTCTCTATCGAGCAAGAGCCAAGACGTAATGCACGCAGGCTTGCAAGAAGGCATCTCGGGCGACGCCCACACGGCATCGTGCTGATCCGGGCGTGCCCGGCACCGAGACCACCACCACGAGAGGTGCTTTGCCGATCATGGCTTGTTTGGTGGGGTTTTGGCGATGACAAGACCAGACAAGCTTTCTGAATGGAACAACTGGCTGGTTGGTGACGATGAGTGTGCTGCAGGTGTAACCCGACCCAAGAGAGCACAAGTGCACATGAAACGTGTTTTGGATCGCCCTTCTTCGATTTGTTCTTTTTGTTGTTCCACGGGTCTTGGCCAGGCGTGTGTTCAGGCCGTGGCACTGCCGGCCTGGTGGTGGCCATCCAGAAGCACTGCTGGTAGGTAGGTGTAGGTACTCTCTTCCTCGCAGCTCGAGCAGGACCCGAGAGTGCAATGAAAAGAAAAAGGGTTCGCATCACCTGGAGGCAGTGTAAGACCAGGGACACTGTGGCCAACCGTCATGGGCATGCCCAGAGGACAGTTAGCCGAGATAAAAAAAAATATTATGATAATCAAGATTCTGCTCCGTTGGAGCAGTTTCAGATATTAAACTGAAAATAACAGATACTACACTTGATCTAAGCCAGAAGGCAAAGAGAGCTGAAGAAGAAAAGAGGAAATCAAGTAAAATGCAAAGGGTGGCCGACAATATATAGCTGGTGTGTCTGGTCTGTGCTCGCCTGCAAAATCGCATCCTCTCGAACATACCACCTGGAGCAACTTCGTGACAGCGGAGTGTCCCGCCTCAAACCCTGCTGGGGCTTGGTTGGAATCCGCTGTAAAACCTCCGTCTCCACATGGCTCCACCGGCCAGTAACATGGAATTCCGGGAAAGCGGCATCCATGACGCAGTTACACCACACCTCTGTCCTTGTCCCTGAATAATCGCCCAAAAAAACAATGGCGCCTTTCTCTTTTCTCCGTCCGATAACTTGGGACGACATCCCCGATTGACCGTCCGAGACGAAGCTGGCATGGACAGTAATGAAGCACAACGACAAACCTGCGAGGAGGAGGGGGGGAAGATAATCGACGCAGAAAGCCCTTTCGACGGTCCAACACACACATATCCAAAAGCGACTTCATATACACCACCGGTACCGAAATCGAGAAACGAAAATGCACCCGGTGCCAATGTCGACCACAACACTGCTGCTGTGCCAGACGACCATGGGCCACAAGACAAAAAGCCAAGCTTGGTGGGCAGGCTGGCGAACAGGTTAGGACTCGATGCCGGTACCTTGATCATCATGTTCAAGGGGTCACTACCTCCAACAATCGCCATTGCCATGTACCAAGCCGCCCCCATAACCGCCTATTTCACCACTCTCGGCTACCTCATCCCCATCGTCAGCGTTCTCGCCCTGGCCATTCTCCCGAGGGGAAAGTTTCTCATGAACATGATCCTGAACCTCTTTTCCGTCTGCCTCGGGGCCGCCATCTCCATGCTGGCACTCTGGTCGGCCGTCAAGGCCCGAGAAAACACCAGGTCTTCTGCTCCGCGTCCAGCGTCAGGAACAGGGGGTGGGCAGGCTTTGACCATGGTACCATATAACTCTAGCCAGTCGGCTGTCTGCGCCGTCTGGCTGTTCTTTGGCATTTGGCTGGGGAATGTAGTGAGGGCCAAGCTGCCGGCCTTCAACTTGCCCGTCATCATCTTCAGCATCTTTGTCAATGTCGCGGCCACCTACGGACCTTTCATGACAACAACTACCGGGGCACAGAAGTTTGTCAGGGAGTTGTTGACGGCCATGCTCGTGGCACTAGCATTGGCTTTTGCCGTCAATCTCTTTGTTTTTCCCATGAGTAGTCGGTTGGTGGTGTTCAAAGAGTTTGAGGGCGCGATTGGATTGTTGAGGAGGACAGTAAAATTACAGAGAGAGTATCTGGTGTCACTGGAGAAAGAGGACATGTTTGCTGTCGCAAGCCATGCAACGGGTTCAAGAAAAGAGAATGGGAGGAGATTGACCAAGGAAGAGAGGGCTGCAAAACAGCTGAAAGAGACTGGTGATAAGATGAGGCAGCTGGCGGGGAAGCTGCATGCTGATATACCGTTTGCCAAGAGAGATTTTGCCTGGGGAAAACTGAATGGGGATGATATTGGGCAGTTGTTTTCGTTGTTTCGGAATGTGTACATTCCGGTGTAAGTACCTCTACGCTTTAATTTCTCTCACGCCTCTCGGAAGCTGACCGGAACGGACAGGCTTGGGATGATGACCATCATCGACATCTTTAAGAGAGTGTCGGAACACCGTGGGTGGAACCGTCTTCGCAATGAAGACGAGCTGTCTGATGACGAGATTGCCGCCAAAGAAAAAGAAAAGAGGGTTTGGAACGAGGTCATGAAACAAATGCATGAGCCGTTCGAGATTTTGTCTGGAGCTATCGATCAAGGTCTGGAACATGCTGGGCTCTGCTTAGGATTGTTACCACGGCCAAAACGGACACGAGATGTTGAGGCCCAAGGCGAACAGGTTCGACCCGGCGACCCCAGACTTGCCAAAGTCATGGATGAAAAGGTTGCCGCTTTCTACTCCAAAAAAGGAGAACTGCTAAGAACTTGGGTCAGAGAGCGCGGCTTTCGCCTTGAGGACAATGAAGACGGGTATGGAGAAGAACACTTGACGGAGCAGCGAGAGCGAGATCAGTCCCAGCTCTACATTGTTCTTTATATGGAGAATTTGATGCACGCTTCAGGCGAGGCCGTTCAAGCACTTGTCGCGTTTGCTGACAAGAAGGTGGCCGATGGGACTATGTCTAGAAATAGGGTCATCATACCATCGAATAAACGGCTAAAGAAATTACTCCTCTCGGTATTCAACAACGAAGACTCTTCAGGGGAAGAGTCGCCAGATCTCACAGAGACCAGAAACACCATCGTATACTTTGGAGATGGCTACAACCGAAAGAAGGATCCGGAGCACCTGCCACCAGAAACAGCTTGGCAGCACTTTGGCAATGGGCTACGCAAGATTTCTGCTTTTTTGGGATCCGAAGAGTCCATGTTTGGGTTTCGAGTAGCTTGTGCTACCATGACGGTTGGGATTGTGGCTTTTCTCGAAGAAACCCAGCGCTTTTTTATGGAACAAAGACTGGTTTGGGCCATGATCATAATCGCCCTTGGCATGACAATGAGTAAGCTATCCCTTCGGCCAGCCATGTCGAGTTTGAACTGACTAACATCAACAGCATCGGGCCAGTCCTTTTTTGGCTTCCTTTGCCGAGTTGGAGGCACAGTCATAGCTATGGTGTTGTCCCTGATCATATGGTATATCGTCGATGAACGGCCCGCCGGCGCCATTGTGATCATGTGGTTCTTCGTCTTCATCAGCTACTACTTCTTCCTCAAATACCCTCGTTTCATTCCGGCCATCATGATCACCATCGTCACCCAAGTACTCATTATCGGGTATGAGCTTCAGACTATCCGACTTGGAAAGGAGATTGCCGAACGAACAGGGCAGCCCTGGTATCCAACATACTTGCTCGCTCCGTATCGTCTAGCTTGCGTGGCAGGTGGCAGTCTCGTTGCCTTTTTCTGGACGATATTTCCATCCCCATTGACAGATCGCACCTGGCTCCGAAGAGATCTGTCAGCAACTCTCTACCTGGTAGCCAACTACTTCGGTGTTATCAGCAGCACGCTTCGGTCCAATCTGGACGACACGGCTGGAGATGTTGATATTCCCGGGACGCCAGCACATCAGCTTCACAAGTTTAGCCGTAAAATCTTTGGCAAGGTCATGATGCTGGTCCCCTCCATGATGCAGCATTCCGAGTGGCAGCGATGGGAGCCTACGATAGGGGGGAAGTTCCCCCGCGAAGCCTACGACGACATCATTGCGGGAAGCACAAGAATTATGGCTTACCTCACCCTTATAAGCTACACGCTCATGCACCCTACGCGTGTTTATCACGCCACCTCGAAAGAATACAACGGGGAGGATGGCGATGAAACCCATATCCGCAGCCGCGAATGGCTCAACGCTCTCGCCAAGGTTCTGCGCACTCTGAGACCAACACATCACTCAATTCTGTCCACATTGACGCTACTGTCGAACTCTCTATTGTCAGGCCAGAGGCTACCCCCTTTCTTGCCCTTGCCAAGGCCGTACGAGATGACGAGACGGCTGATGACGCTGTCGTCATCCAAGTCTTACCCCAAACATGCCAACGACGACGAGGACAATGGCTCCGAGGAAGGACCGGGCGAAGAAGATGATGAAGACAATGAGTCGGACGGCGCCCCCGTTAGACTAGTCGACTCCCGAACAGGGAGAGATGACCGCGACGAGGACAGGTTGCTGCGGAAGCGCACCACTCGTTCGAGCCACAAACTTGATCACATCCCTGAGCACCACGATGGCGCCCGTCCAAGGAAGAGAAGGCCGGTTGAGGTGAATCTACTGGATCCGAGAAACATGGAACAGCCGGGATACGCAGAGTTTGCCGTGCTGCAGGTATGCACCACACTGGTATGTGACGACCTGGAGGGGCTGGTCAAGGCGGTGAGTGGGTTGGTTGGTGTGGTCGACTTCAGTTTTCGGTACGAGGGGAGCGAGTCAACCTTGGGTGCCAACTCGGGGAATGAGACTGCAAGTGAAGGGTTGAGACGAAGAAAAGGATAGAAGGAGGTTTAGATGTATTGTGAAAATGAAATTGTATATATTCCCTTAATTAAACCAAAGTCCGATCAATGCTGGCTGTGTAACATGCTTATCTGCGGGGTAATTTCTCAACATGGACAAGTCAACTTACCCTGACAAATGAGTGTTGTGGTTCCAATAACAATTATATTATCCCGCTCGCTCAGCATGCAATGCTCGCTCGACTGTCTAACTGCTTCTAGCCCCTTGTAGCTGTTTTTTTTTTCCGAGTCTCTATCGTCTATTTCTCTACCCGCTCTAATTTTGTTTGTTTTGTATATTTCTCGTTTTCGTCGTCGTCAATGGGATGAACTCCTTCCGTCGCTGTGTTGCCGTTGGGGTATATACAAACCAGCCTCCCATCATGAATCCCTAATCATTCTCATTCCCTGGGGACTTGGCCCCTTTCCAAGGAAGAGCAGAAATAATGATATCAAGAGCGAAAAGAGATGCTCTTTACTTGCTCTCGGCCCACTTGAGAGTGCCCGGCACGGTGGGATCGGCCTCGACGTACTTGCAGGTGGTGAAGGTCTTCCAGAGCGAGCCGAGGAACGAGCCCTTCTCCTGGTGGTAAAGGTCGCCGACCACGGGCTTGATGGCCTCGGTGGCCTCCTCGGCCTTGTAGAAGGGGATACGGCTGGACAAGAGATTGTTAGCCAGGAGTGCCGAAGAGACAGCAGGGTTGACAAAGGAGCAAACTTACGGGAATAGATGGTGAACGACGTGGGTGTCGATGATGCCGTGGAAGAGGTGACGGCCGACGAAGCCAAAGTCGCGGTCGACGGTGGCGAGGGCGCCCTTGACGAAGGTCCAGTTCTCGGCGTCGAAGTGGGGAACGTCGGGGTGGGTGTGGTGGAGGTAGGTGATGGCGACCAACCAGTGGTGGACCCAGAAGTAGGCCTGGCCGTACATCAGGAACACCATCTTCCAGCCGACCATGGTCGAGGCGAGGTAGAGGCAGTAGCCGACAATGGCGAGACCGACGTCGGTGATGAAGATGTAGACGGCCTCGCTGGGGCGGAAGACGGCGCTGGTGGGCTCAAAGTGGCTGACGCGGAGCCAGCCGCCCTCGCGCTGCTTGCTGGCGGGACCGGCGGTGGCGTTGAACAAGAGGTACATCTGCCAGCCGGCGAGCTGGTGGAAAATGAGCTTGACGAGCTGGACAAGGGGGACGTCCTCAAAGAGCTCGCGGTCGAGGTAGAGGTCGGCAAGGCGGCGTTTCTGGCGGTCCTCCTTGGTGGCGGGGACGAAGGCCATGTCCTTCTCCATGTGGCCGGTGAAGCGGTGATGGCGGTGGTGAGAGAACTTCCAGGAGAAGTAGGGCACCATGAGAGCCGAGTGGAGGACCCAGCCAACGACGTCGTTGAAGTTTTGGTGCTTGGAGAAGGCGCCGTGGCCGGCCTCGTGAGCCAAGATCCAGACGCCCGTCAGGACGAGGCCCTGGAGGTAGCCATAGAGGGCCCAGGCAAGACCGCGGACGATGCTGTCGTTGATCTGGGGGATGTAGGTGAAGGCAGCCCAGCCAAGGGCGCCGGCCATGATGAGGTCGCGGAAGACATAAGCCATCGAGTGGAGGATGGTTGGCTCGAAGCAGTGGGCGGGGATGGCATCGCGGATGGTCTGAATGTCGGGATACTCGACCACCTTGGTCTTGAGCACGCCATTGGCACCGCCGTTGGCCTTGCGACTCCTGGTCTCGGTGGTAGTGATAGCGGTCGCCATCTTGGGCTGATTGTATGGATCTGGGGGGAGGGAGCCAAATCCACGGAGACGGAGAGGCGATGGGGGAGATGAGGAAGGAAAGAGAAGGGGAGGGAAGGGGGGAAAGCGGGCGAGAAAAAGAGGGAGAGGAGGAGGAATTAAACTTCTTCCACCGCCCGCTCGAGCGAAACCCGCAACAGGGGACCACCAGCCAGCGACTGTCCGTTTTTCTCCCATTTTTTTTTTTTTTTTTACTCTCGTTCGAAACTGACAGGGACCCTGCATCTGGCTGCGTGTCTGTCAACGGGTGCCATCCATGTCTCCCCTGCCCCTCTGGCCGGCGAGCCCCACGTGTGTCCTCTTTTGTCTGGTCCCCAGCTCAGGCCCAGGCCAACAGAAAACGAATCTAGCCTCAAAAGAACGGGTCCCCTTGGCTGGAGCTGGTGCGGGCGATATGCGTGTGCTACGGTGCCAGGACGCGATTAAGATTGCAAACCAAACCCATTTTGCCGTTGCAGTTGACGCCGCTGATTGGACCCATCTCGATAAGGGCCCAGTATAAAAAAAATAGAGTTCAAGAGCAAAAAGGCGGTCACTGGGCATTGACTGACTGACACACGGGTTGCTGGCAAGTGACGAGGCACCCCGGCGGCACACATGCAACATGCAACACAAAAGAACGCGGGTGGCAGACGTTAGTGTTTCACAGCAGACAGTCCCTTTTGGAGACAAAGCAAAATGCCATGTTCTCTGGCATCCAGAATGCCAGATCCAACTTCCCCCGGAGACCCTGGATCTTCAAACCATCTGGCCTCCATGTGGATCTGCACCATGAACATCGAAATCCCAATTGGCAGTTTCAACCAGGTTGGGCTGCTGCAATCGCTTCACTCCGACTGGCTCGACGAAGAGGGGTTTCCCGATTTCCCCAACACCAGCTCACATGTCCACCCCACACTTGCCAACAAAAAAAATTAAGAAAGGGGGGCGCCGAGGCGGAATCCCAGCAGACGGCAAACCCAACGCCAACAAGGAGCCACGCTTTTTGAGAACTTGTCTACAACTGTACAGCAAGGCCGTTGTTGTACACATCATCCCTTCTCCCGACTCGAGTCTCTTCTCCAACCGACCACCAATCGGCTTCACCTGTCTGCGAGTGATGGGTACTAACCGTCTGAACTGTTCACATTAAAAGTGAACCCCTACCAGCCGTTTCCCGTTATGCAAGAAGGGTCTCAGATTCGCCAAGATAATATTCAGGCACACATTTATTGCTCTCTGATTTTGTCTCTCCCCTCTCTGCTTTTACTATTTTACTCTACCCGACACAAATCCCTTATTTCGAGGGAAAACCACTAGGACCATTACTTCCTGGGCCTGCTCGGCTTCCTTCTTGGCCAGCCACAGTCAAACCAGCGAGTGTCCTTGTTTAAATAATACAAGCTCCCAGAGTTGAACCGATTTCTCCCTCCAAAACCTTTCCCTAAACCTTTTCCCAAGCGCCCCCATCCCGTCAAGTTCGTAAGTAATGTGTTTCATATTCATAACGCGTCGTCGGGTCCAGACAATATGATTGTGAATCTTTGCCCCTTGGATCTCCATACAGCATCATATGTGTTGGGGAAATAAAGTAAACGAGATACGCCCCGGCCCCCCCCCCCTTTCCTCCCCATACCATGCCTTGAAAGAAAGAAAACCCGCGTTGTCCTAGCAAAAAGGCCGAGCCGCGCATGGCTTTTGGGACTGTGCTCGTGTGAGAGTGTTAGGAGAGAGCTAGTTCCGCAAAAGTGAAGCCTGCCAACCAGCACACCTCGGCCATCAGGCACCGTATACCGCAAAAGATCATGCCATCCCCCTCATCTCCCTTCTGGATCCATCCGCCTAGTAAGACTGTTGAAGTCGAGGATGCCATGATGGAGCGGCAAAGTGTAAGTGTACAGACAACATGAATGAAGATAAGAAAGCCGACAGAACATAAAAGGGTATCAATGTCGTACAGAAATGGTGGTCGTAACATAACGCAAACGTGGGGCTACAGCACCCGAGCCCTGCAGTCAATCTCATGCCAGTCGGCAAGGCTGCAACCAAAAGTTCATTCGTGGACCATGACCGATTTCTCTGCGCGCACTCGCATATGACCAGCATGGGTTTCCAGGCAGGCGGTGATCAGGCGAGTCACTACAGGCCGTTTAGTTAGCAGAGGTTCACGGTTGGCAACGAAAGGAACGGTTCTGTACACACCTGGCCATACAGCGGCTTTGTCGAACATGTAGGCAGTGACTCTGAGCAGATTCGCGGCGTAGCCGGGACTGTCGCCGAGATGAGGCTTGCCATCCATGCCCGTCACCGCAGCATCGCCACCAGCCATGTCCTGATTCATCTTCGTCTCGGCGCCACGAATGATGCTGTCGATTTTGCCCAGCAGTTTCAGATCCTCCTCTTCAAGAAGCATGATGGCAGGTACCTGTGTGAGATCAACACTGTCTCGGCCCAGAATCCCAAGATAACGCCCAACCCGGTCCTGCAACGTCGCCACCCATTCTGCTAAGACCTGGGCGCAGTCAAACACACAGAGAGTCGATTGCAGCGGCAATTCGCGACTGGTCAGATTGGCAAAAGTCACGCCGAGCTTGTCCGAAACCGAGAGGGACTCGGCGGCGAAGAAGGCTGCTTTCCGCAGATGCTTTTCCCTGCGCGTTGTGGATCGAGTGCCCGAAGGCTGCTGCTGCTGCTGCTGGGATTGTGTCACGGCAGCTGGGTTGACCGTCCCGGACTGCGAGAACTTGGACGCGGCAAAGTCAGGAGATGAAGTTTGCGTTAGTGGGGAGTCGACAAAGTGTGGGCTTACTCCAGATGCATCTGACTGCTCCGTGGCGGCCGAATCGGTGTTGGACGCCGGAGAATGCTCAGCATGCTGTATGATTTCCGACCCTCTTGCCAGCTCCTCGGCCATGCCGTCCCAGTCCCGCTGCCAGAACTTCTCCTTGGACCGTGACAGGTTTACAAAGAGGCGCACATAGGCTAGATCAAGCATGGTGATGGCGTCGGCGGAGAGAGGGCCCAGGCCAAAAGGGTTGGGACGCTCTGGGCTGTGGTGAGGGTTACTTGCCCAGGCCGCGTGCCAGGCCCGGAGGGCTGGCTCGATGTGCCGATGCATTTTTTCCGTCTCCTCGTTGGTCCACACCTTGTTGTGGTGTCGCTGGCGCGTCTCCCAAATGTAATTGTGCAAAGCATTGATCAGGATCAGACAGCCAAAGCTGCTAGGTTTCAGGTTGCTCTGGGGCAGGTCGTTGATATTAACCGCTGTGCCAAACGGCTGGTGAACGTTCTTGAGAGCCAGATTCTTCTGCTCCTTCTCGTTTGTGCGGAGCAGCTCACCCAGTGCCTCATGAAACGTCATGCGATTACGGTTTGCCGCGGGGGCGCCGCCTTTTGACTGGAAGACACTGGCAGACTCGGCAGCAAAGAACTCCTCGTCGCAGGGCAGGTCGAGGTAGATCTCGGAATTGGTCAGAGCCGGAGTGTGATTGTATGCCGACACCAGAAGACTAGAAAGGATAAAGACAGCATAGAGAGTACGTTTTCTTTCCTCGGCCGCCTTCCAGCGCAGCCACTCGACCTGTTCGTCAGCTTCCTTCCTCGCGGTTCCGTTCCAAGCGGCATCCACATCCATCATGTCAACATCTTTGGCAGGCTCGGGTCGCGGTGCCCGCAAGAGCTCGGCTCCTTGCGCAAGACTTACTAACGCAGCGGCATGCGTGGTCGCTATCTCTCCGGACCGCTTGTCTCCGCAATTATGACCATACACGACATTCAGAAGCATTGCCTGTACCAACCACACGGGAGTCTCGACGGAAGGGTCCTGCTGATGTGAATTCTGGTCCGACAGGGGAGTTCGTCGGATAGACTCTGCCTTTCTTACGTTCGCTTTCCTCCGCTCGTCGAGGTACAACTGGATCATTTTCTTGGCCAACCCAAACAACTCCATCGACGCCTGATGCTCCAACTCAAACAAGGCACCAATTGCCGCCATGGAAAGAAGCAAGCACCCACTCCCGCCAATGCCGCTGTTTCGACCGTTAGCTGATTGCGGCGAGGTCTCGAACGAAAGCGTCGGAACGTGGACAAACGGCAGGTGGGGGTGAAAGTAGCGCAAATAGGCCCCGACATATCGCTGAAGGTCTCGCGTGCTCGGGAGGTTACTGCTGCTGTTCTGATCGGAGTTGCTGGTGTTCGTCGGCGGTTGCGCGGTCAATGGCGAGTTCGACGTCGCAAAGGAGTATCTTCGCGTGCCGAAGGCGGACGCCTGGGAGGCCGAGAGGGCACCTAGGATGGCATTTCTTGTTGAATCAGTGATTGTCGAGACGGGTAAGGTGCCATGATTACTACCATTCATCGAGGACGGCGTCTCCGGACCGGCACCCATATTAAGAGTTTGACTCAGGTTTGGACCATTCAAGCCTGAGAGAATCGATGGACTCAGCGAGCTGAGAGAGGGAGGAGGTGTCGAAAAGTAGCCATCGCCGATGGCCTTACCAGCTGGTGGCGGTTGCGGCGAGAGGGGCGCGCCACTCAAAAGGTCTGGGAACACCGAGCCGCCCATGTCGAGAGAGAAGGGGTTGCCCATCTGCGGTGGGCCCATGATAGAGGGCTGCCAAACCACAGTCGAGACGGACTGGTGGTTGGAACCGTCCACCATGACATCGCTAATGCCGCTCTGGCTGGTGGTGCTAATGGCTGAGGGTGATGAGCCGTCCACAGCATTCTCATTGGGGCCGTTGTTGAATGACATTTGGTTTTCAAAGCCGTTCAACCACTCGAACCCATCATCCAGCTGCTGGGTACCCGTCATGTCGGGAAGCCCGTGTGCGAAGGGGGATAACGGGTCCATGGACATTGGCGGCGGCGAGTCGCTGTAGTGCAGAGCATTTGGATTGATGGTCGAGCTTGTGGCAGGGCCAAAGAACAGGTTGTCATACTCGAATTCGGGATTGAATGGGAGAGGAGGCGCTGTCCGCAGGCCACCGGTGAAGTCCATGCTGATGCCGTGAGTCTCCAGCTTGGGAAGCCCATGAGGAGCCCCTCGCTGCGCCAGAGCGGCAGCCATGCCATAGGTGTCAAAGGTGTTGCTCATGGGCAGACCAACGAGGCTAGCGTGACGGCTGTGCGTAGGCTGGATTCCCCTTTGGACCTGCAGGTTCGTTGCCAGCATGTTCTGCATCGCAGCATTGTCGATGTGGCTGATAGTGTTGGCGCGCGGTCTCATGGAGGCGGCATTGCTGTTGGCGGCGGCAGCAGCGGCAGCGGCAGCAGCACTCGGACCTGCGATGCTGTTTTTGCGGACACGGCTGGCACCGGGGGCGGCCCCGCTGGCGCTCTCGCGACGATTACGTGGACGGGAGGAAGGAGTTGTGGTCTGATGGAGCTTCTGCTGGTGTCGCAACAGCAGATCGCGGCGAGCAAAGCAACGCGTGCACTCGGGACACTCAAACGGCTTTTCTTTGGTATGCGAGCGCTCGTGGCGCTTGAGATGCTCCAGCCGAGCGAACGAGCGCTGGCAGGTGCCGCAAACATGAGGGCGCGGCTTGTCGGTCTTGGGCGTCGGGAAACTGGCTGCGGGAACCTTGGTGTTGACCGTGATTGTTGAGGCTTTTTTCTCGCCACCAAAGGGAGCACTTGTCAGTTTGGCAGGACTCAATCGAGACCGGATGGTTGGAACGACACCATTGGGGAAAAACATACCAACTTCATCACCGACGGGCGCAGTGCCGCCAGCGGCAGTGGTCGACGCAGAGGCAGCGGAATTGGACATGGCGGCGACACCCTCAAGCTTACTGCCGGCGTCACTCGACACAGTCATCGTCCGTGGGACCGAGAATGGGTTACAGGCTCCAGGCGACTCTGGCGGCAGCGTAAAAGGCAGAGACAAGTCGGAAGCGTCGAGATTGCGTGGGTGTGGTCGGGGGAAACAAGAGGCAAGAACAGAGTAGAAGCACGCTGAAGATTGGAGGGGTGGGGGGGACAGACACGGAGGAGGCAGCGACAGCGGCGGGCGGCGGCGGGCAGCAGCGGAGCGGTGGGGAGGGACGGGAACAGGGCAGTGAAGCAGGCTATCGCATGCTATCCCGACGGGACGCAATTGGATTCTTGGAGGGTCCAAATAGCTTCGTATACCCGCTGGTCTGCTGAAATCACGCTCTCGACGAACCCGACGTTTACAATTGGCATCAGCCCAAGCAATCGAGGTAGGTGAAGGCGGCGGTTGCATAAGGTGAAGACGAGGAAAGGCTGGCTTGAGCAAGACAGATAGACAGCTTCTGCCATGGATGACAGTCTCAGGTCTCCCTCTCAGGTCTGTCTGTCCAGAATCCCAGATCGTCCCGGTGCCATGCGGCGAATGATTGGGGGACTGGACAACCGTCAACTGGGTCCCATCCAACTGTCAGGCAGTGACAGACACCAGCGGCACAGCGACACGGCGACACAGCGACACAGTGCGGAATGGAAAAGCTCACCCCTGTAGTGAGAGAGCTAAGGAATCGATGGACCAGCATGCCCCGTTAGCCTGGTCAAGCGATGGGTGGTGTTCCTTGGCCAAAGGCGCAACTGATCTAACAAGGAAATCTTGGAACTCCGGGGCTGGTAGAGGGATACTTATCCGATACTTTGAATCGAGCGCAGGATGAATAACCACCCCGAGTCTCTTGGTGGTTGTCTCTACTTCTTCTACCCGCTGGACCCTGCAAAATGACAGGGACCTTGCCGAGCCAAGTCAATCCCTGCGCAGACGTTCTCGCACAGTGACTCAGAGCTTCCATTTGGAGAGCAACCTCTCACGAGTATCGTGAGTGATAGATAAGACAGATTGTCCGATGCCTTCCTTAGCAGAGTTGGTTTCAATTTCGAGCTCATCTGCACCTCGCCCATTTCTATCCAGAACCCCCTGCCAAACATAAATTCATGAGCCTGCCATGGACGTTGCGGTCCAGGGTGATTGATCACACGCGTTTCTCACCACAGCTTAGCGCAATGCAGCTCCTGTGGGCCGCCCACCTTTCTGTCTGTCTGCACGGTGTCACGGCAGAGTTTCAAATAAGCCCAGTGCCCAGCTCCCAGCTCTGGAGCTTCGAGAGACCTTCAAGCCTTGTTGGTTGCGTTCAACAGACATCTCTCGGCGTGTGAAGCCAGCACAGTACAGTTGTTTTACACGGGAACAGTAGACAGTAACAAGGGGGCATTCCGTGGTTTCATAGGTGGGAAGGTAAAGTGCTCACCGCTCAAGGTTACTTTACAACTCGTACGGATACAGCCGCATGCTTCCCTCGCTCATTCGCATCTACGCAGTACGGATACCAAGCAGGTAATTCAGCCTGGAATCTTGTAGTGTAAGCATGTCGAAGCAGGAGGCAGAAAGCAGAAAGCAGAAAACAAGTAGCGGTCTAGGAGCTGGGAGCTGCCGTTCGCCACATGTTGTGGACGAGCGTTTCTATTAATAAAATGGCAGTCCACGCACCAAGCTCCTGGCCAGGCTCATATTTGTTTTCTGCTCCAGTCCTCCTGGGCGGACAAAACCAGTCCGTACAATGCTAAAAAGTAAAACTGATGACATGAATCGTGTTCGGACAGACCAGGCCAGGCATTAAGCAGTCCCTGCCATCCAATGCCGTCCGTGGCTCTTTGCCTCCATGCATGTCCAGCCAAGTTTGGCTGGGATATCCGCGGCTTAGGTCGATCGACCCTACCGGCGATGCGACACTGCCCAACCCACGAAACAAACACACGCCAGACCACGGAGCGGTGGCTGTTTTCGGAAGCTTACCAGCCCGATCATGGTCAGAGGTTGACAAACCGTGGGGTGCTGCCTGACCCAAGCACATACTAATAGATAACCGAAGCAGGCACGCAGGCACGCAGGCTGAAGTCTGGAGGTCTAGCACGCTCCCGACGAAATGAAACAGCCAATCAAGCACCAGTTGGGTGCATTCACTAGGGCTCCTACGGAAGAATATCGTTGGTTGGTCTTGGCCAGGAGAGCTTGAGAGTTGAGAACCGGACAGACCTCGGCATCGCGAACTCAGCGGCCCTCGTTAGCGCACCTAAAGAGCTCTGGAACCATGGTGCCTTGCTCCAAAGATGAAGAGTACGGCGAGTACAATAGTACGTAGGTCTGAGCCAGCCATCAGCGACCAATAATGCGAGCACTGGCCAGATAGTGATAGGACACAGCTCAAGCAGAATCTACCCCGCCAAAGGACCAACGTCCCCTTGATGGAGGGGTAGGTAAGGTAAAGCTCCCGCCCACCTACCAAAGGAGCTTGGCGTGGAGGGGTACCCTCCCCCAATTTTCCCCAACCTCAAGAAGTCCTGCAATGTGTGTGCCTCCAACACAGATGAATGAGGTAAACGCCTAGGGCATATCAATTGATATTACAACGGCTCTGCTTTCTCCAACAGCCCATGCTCATGGCAAGTCACCAGGTGTACCCAACTCTCACCCTTCAGCTCAATCAGTTCCCAGCCACCTTCACAGATAGATGGTCTAAGCGTCGGTGGTTTGCCTTGGCAGCAACTCCATTCTTCCCCACACAGTGACAGTGGATCACAAGCCCACGAGTGACTTGGAACGCCCAAAGCCTCTCAGAGCGGCTTCACTTCAACCATAGCATGGGCTGTCTATCTCAACCACACCAGCTGTACAATCATGTATGTCCAGATCACCAAGGCACACACCTCTACCTTCGTTGGGGGAACATCCTGTAGATGTCTGTTGACTCTCTCGGGGACAGCCGCGTTACCCTTGGGGCCGCACCACCCGATATGAAAAGCCCCCGAAGCGAACGAGAACCATGACGATGGCGGATATCTTGGTCCACTTGATCCAGATTGCATCCCCAACTCTACCCCGAATCCACACATGAGCCAGATGGCCGTCAATATAAACGACCATGATTGAGCTGCGGCTCTTTTTCCAAGAGCCCTACCGTGCCGTGGGACGACTGGCTTCCCTCAAGAAAAGCAAAAAGGTCAGGTGTACAGCAGACGGAGGCACGGAAGCGAGGAGGGTTCCACGATGCTGCTGCAGGATCCAGCAACGTCCAACTGCTGATTCGTCGTCTCTTTGCATGCGAACCAGCTGCAGTTGCATCGCCGGTTGCATGAGTAACCCAATCCACCACATTTTCGACTTGCCGTCTTTCCAAATTCCCGCAGCAACAGTCCTGTAGTCATCGTGCTCTTGCGGGCTAAGGAATGGCCGGCAGCTTGGTGATTCTACCAGGCCTGTTTTGTATCAACGCTAAGTGGGCATTGATAGGTATGGACCTCGTTCCTGAACCAGCAGATAATTACCTTCCCAAAAAATGACCCCGTGATCTGCTAGTCGAGACCCTGTCCCGAAGAAGCTACAATCTCCAGCCGCTGCACGTAATTTGCGTGGGTGACGGCCAACTGTGATGCATAAGATCCCACTGGGCACATCAAGAGTGGGTGGGATGGCCCGATATTGGTTGCGCACACATAATGTACAACATATGGGGGGGGGTCCTTCGTCAGAGGCCCATGGTAGGTAAACTAATTCTCCCAGCGAGAGGGATTGGTATGCCGCCTCAATACTGTCACCCGGCTAAACATGTCCCAGATGTCGCCACAACCTAATAGATATATCAGAAGTGCAGTCTACCAGATGTCCGCCGCCCCGTTCCCTCGTTCTTCAGGAGATACTAGGGCATCTCGAACTGATTGGTCGGTCTCTGAAAAGGCCAGACTCGGGAGGTGAAGCACGGAGCAGGTACCCGTTCTCGGGCTGTCCCGGACGGTGCTCCCACCCAGAAAACCGGTGCGCTGTCGGCGTCGGCAGTGGGTCGGTCCCATCCTGTATAAATCCGGCCCTCCGTACTTGCCCTCCTCTCCGTAGGCAGGTACCTTATGCACAAGGGCATTAGGTAAGGTTAGTCTCGGCTTCAGACTCTCGGTGCAGCGGGCGTTTCGGCAGCCAACCGGCTTCATCTCCCACATCACCGCATGTCTTCCCTTGCATTCCATCCGTTTAGTTGTAGGGCAGACCTCTGGGTCTCCTACTACATCATGACCCCTGACTGCTGCCATGATGACGTCGCGATTGCACCCCGAACCACAGCCAGTGGTGGCGAGGTCCTCCTTGTGCCCCTACCGGAAGGGTTTCACCCCCCTTTTTTCCCGGAATCGTGGCTGAAATCTTACTTTTCGGTAGCTGGAAAGTGTGGGAGGCCAGCAAGTAGCAAGCAATTCGTAAGTGGCGATAGTCCACCGCTGAAGAATTCTTCCTCTAGGAAAGGAAAGGATCGTAGCGTTGGCTGGGCGAGAGTTTCTGCGTTGTTAATTCCGACGCTTGCCGAATCTCTTTGCGAGGGAGACGCCGCCGAGTTCGGAAAGGTCTTATACTCGACGAAAATCGCTGACTGGGTGCAGCGGTTTGTTCAGGAGGTCTTTAGATGACCCGGAATTTCTTGTTCAGAGCCATCGAGAACGATTCAGTTAAGAGGCTTGTCGACGCGGCACTCTCCAATGTCCATATTTGGTCTTGGCTAGATGCTTAGGTACCCAGTCTACCTAAGCAATGTTCCTCGAGACATTCTATAATTACTTGCATCAGGGTTGGCTACCTTGACTGACTCGGCCGGCCATCAACTCTACTTTCTGCTGCCTGTCGATCATGGATGCTCCTGCCGTCAATACTGTCGACCCCGTAGCTGAACAGGATGCAGATCCTCTTTAGCTGCGGCCGCCATATGCTCATCAATCAACTGGAGGCCAGTCGCTTGCAAGACAAGCAAGCCAAGGCAGTCAAAAAAAGGGTTTGTTTTGAATGGCTCAGGCGAGTGG